ATGAGCAGGTGTCTTTGTTGACATCCATGGCTAAGCTAAAAAGTTCGGCAGCATTGCAAAGATCTTCTGGTGTGCATGATGCTCCGGATGGTTCTTGCGCAGGGACTTCACCGACACATTCAGCTAAGAGATCCATCAGGAAGGAAGCAAGGAGACGCCTAGCTGACAGATGGAGGACGACCCAGCAACATCAACATCCATCACAAGATAGTAATGCTACATTCAGCACACTCGGGGACATGCTTGCTCTCTCTGACAAAGAGACCTCAAAGTTTACTTCAGGGGCAGCAGCTAGCCGGCAATGGCCAGAGGGCGAGTCACATAGGGATGTGATGCCAGGATCATGTGGTTATCCTCTTGGTATCAGCAGCAATGATGGCTGGAAAGATGATAACATATGTGGCTTAACAAGGTTGGAGTCTGTTTCTACATCATCCATCAACCGAGGGAGTCCGAAATCGAGCAGCAGAAAAGCAAGTTGCACACATGGTGAATATTCTGTGGCAGAGAACATCATCGGATCAGGGCCATATAGTTCTGAAGATCTGCATCAGGACAGACCAAGGAGATCGTCAGTCAGAAGTTCGACATATCGCTCTGATGAAAGCGATGTGCAGTCTCTGGACGAAGTGCAAAGTGTGGTGACCGAACGCGAGATCCATGTGAATTTTGAAGAACCAACTTACACCGGTGCAGTGCCAGAGCTATCTGAAACTGGAGGAAGACTTGTGCATGGTGGAAATTCTGACCATTTGGATAGCAGCCATGCAGTTCCAAAATGGCAGGGTGAGGCCCGGTCTTCTGCACAGAACATGATGCTGGACCAAGAGCACGCATTCGCAGCAGATGACCATTTTATTGTCCCTAGTCCTAGATATTCAGCATCTCAGGTATGTTCATTTTATGCGGGTCAAGTTTCTTGGAAGTATGGCTAAGCATTCTTTGCATATACCATATGGGTTTATGATTTCCCACCCCTCTGTTCAGTAAACTGAAGGTTTTTGGTTGGTCTATGAATTACTAACTAATCTATAGTTCTGCTGCACTCAGATTGAGGGGAATGGGCACGATCGATGTGATGATAATGAAGCTCCGTCCGATCATCTGACAGAACTAGTATCCGTCGTGAGCTCCAACGAAGACGAACAACCGAGTCCGGTGTCCGTCCTCGGATCGTCCGTGGATGCCGAGGACTGTTGTTCAGGAGGTTTTGAGAAAATAAGTGCAGACCTTCAAGGCAAGTGCAGAAACACGCACACTGCCAAACCACTTTCCTGTCACGCTGTCCATATCACTCACTTGACTTACTTTTGTTTGCTGCAGGGCTCAGGATGCAACTTCGGCTGCTCAAGATGGAGGCGACGGGCGACGGGGACGACGAAACCGACCTCGCTCTGTTCACTGACGATGACGAGACCACCGCGAACTGCGAGCCGGCCAATGAAAGCGCGCCGACAACGTCCCGGACTTTCCGGGATGAAGACGAGAGGGACTTCTCTTATGTGGCTGACATGCTCACATTTCTAGGAAGTATTCAGAGCTCTGAGCATGATCTTCTGCTCGACGCGCGCTATCTGTCGGGATCTCGCGGGCGTGGCGACGTGTACGATGATCTCGAAAGGAAGTACGGCGAACTCGTCTTGTGGCCGCGGCCTGAGAGGCGGCTCCTCTTTGATCTGGCAAATGATGTCCTTGTAGATACCATCACCTATTTGACACAATGTGGCAGTCAGCAGGGGTTGGCGAAGAAGTGTCAGCTGGGCATGGAATGGGACAAGGAGCAGATCACGGAGGAGGTTTGGGAGAGGGTGCGCCGGCAACGGCGGGAGACGGAGTGCTTCCAGGAGGAGAAGCTGATGGGCGTGGGGTGGCTGGACTGCGAGGATGTCACTGATGAGATAGTGGAGGACATTGGGAGCATGCTGGGTGAGGATCTCCTGGAGGAAGCCATAGCTGATCTGTACCTGCTGGACCTTTTTGGTTAAGGGAGGAGCTTTCATGCTACATTTTTGCGATAAATAATAAAAGCGCCCTTTATCGAGAAAGGAAGGAGGTTCATTTTGGCGGTTTCGCACACGGGCAATGGCGAGATTTGTGGAAGTAGTGCTAGTGTTTTGGGTCTTGCTCGGTTTAAGAAAGAAAATTGTTAGTGGAAAGCAAAACTCTGTAGCTTGTTTATGCCAGCCCAGGTAGACAGTGGTGGCTGATGCAGATGTAATATTCCAGTTCCATGTATCTAGTAATATATTCTATATATAGCGACGATATTCGACGGTGATGAATGTAATTATCCATATATATGGAAGCAGCCATTTCTTTTCCTTCTGGGTAATGTGCATTTTCGAGTATGGGTTCAGTAATCAGCTGGTGATATGTTGGTGTCATAAACAAGGTTATGTTGGTGAGACGTTGTTGTCGTCAGTTTTCTCATTTCTGCGGGTATATCAAGCGAGGAGGGACAGTCAGTACATCAGGTGACCGCATAGCGCAGTGGATTAGCGCGTCTGACTTCGGATCAGAAGGTCGTGGGTTCGACTCCCACTGTGGTCGCAAACTGTTTTTTCTTTTTCCATTTCCGATACACAAGATTTTCTTTATTCTAGTAATTTGCATTAACAATCACCAATTGCTTCCTATACTGTAAAATTCCACTGGGATCACCACCTTTCCATTTAAAAAAATCACCAATTTAATTTGCATTAGAATCACCATATGCTTCCTCTATCGATTGCAGTTTATTTAATATGTTAACTACCAAACATGCAAAACCATTTGTGTTGCACCGGGAGAGATGATTGGCGTGTATACCAAAATATCCATCGACATGACAATGAAAACATCCGGATGGTGCCACTCGGCGACAACAGGGAGGTGTAAAATTGCTTCCTATACTGTAAAATTCCACTGGGATCACCACCTTTCCATTTAAAAAAATCACCAATTTAATTTGCATTAGAATCACCATATGCTTCCTCTATCGATTGCAGTTTATTTAATATGTTAACTACCAAACATGCAAAACCATTTGTGTTGCACCGGGAGAGATGATTGGCGTGTATACCAAAATATCCATCGACATGACAATGAAAACATCCGGATGGTGCCACTCGGCGACAACAGGGAGGTGTCCACCAAAACGTCCATTAGCATATCACAGAAACATTGGGATGATGCCACCTGACAGCTGCAGAGAGGCGCACACTGGTCTAGCAAAAATGTATATTGGTGGCGCATTAAGAATCATATTACACATATGATACTTTTGGTATGACTTTTGTAAGAGAAGTCTGATCAGACCAAATATGAATAAATCAAACTGCAGCGAAATCTCCCATTCCGCTAATTTTATATCAAAAGGTGGCTCTATTTTTTCGTGGCCTAATTTTAAATCTCCCATTCTAAGTCGTTGTGATAAAATTGAAGTTACTTTTAAAGCTCTTAGCCAACAATTGGCCGACTTAATGCTTCCATGCCCCTCTCTCTCCCTCTTCGCTACTTAATCCTCTACAAAACTACTGGGCGCACGACACTCCCTTCCCTATTCTCACACGACACATGATCCAGCTGTTGTGCTGCACTTGGTCTTATCCATGCATGGTTCGATCGATATCATCGTCCAAAAAACGTGCGCCGAGGGTTGCTCATCTATTAGCACCCACCCCACTTAAACGTGCAGCCACCCAACAATATTTGTTTGTGGAGTTAATTCCCCCCTTTCCACCCACGGTAGCTTGTTGATTTTCAGGCAATTCATGGACCTATATAAATTGTTGAAATTTCGTATAATGAGGCGAGGTGGTACTATTTAATTAGATAACAAGCCAAATTCCTTGCATTTAATTTCAGGCTGCTCTCAATAGACCAAAAAAGTGTCGTACAGGCCCAGTTTGTTAGCTTTCCTCAGCCCGTGCATTTAATTTTAGGCTGCTCTCAATAAACCAAAAAATTGTTGTGCAGGCCCAGCTTGTGAGCGCGTCCCAGGATAAAGCTGAGAGATCGATCGATCTAAAACACGCACTGAGTCGGTTCAGGAAAAAGAAAACAACACGGGGAGAGATCGGTCAACGTAGGAATGCACGGGAATCAGGCGACGGATGAAACTAAACCAAGAATACCTATTCTCTTTAATAGTAGGTATAGATAGACGGATGAAACCAAACCAAGAATACCTATTCTCTTTAATAGTAGGTATAGATTTGCGTTAAAAAACACCATTTGCTTCATATACTGCAAATTTGCACTGGAATCACCTTCTTTCCATTTAAGCTTCCTGTAATGTAAGCTTTTTTTTTTGTAAGGTATTTTAATATAAGTTTTGATCAATTGCAGTTTTTCTTAAATATGTTAATTTGCGTTAAGAAAAACCATTTGCTTCCTCTACCATAAATTGTGTCTTCTAACGGATAACCTTTAATTATTTTACCTCTTTGTTTTTGATTTGCACTAGAAATGGCCACTCGCTCCCTCTCACCAAATGTGAATTCTCTCTTCTGCAGAGTAACTTTTTCGTGCTCTGATTTTTTTACTATTGTGGCAATACTAATTTGCATTAGGAATAACCACTTGCTTCCCCCATCCACCTGTAAATCCTCTCTTCTAAAGAATAACAGTTTCATCCTCTAATCACTCAAGATCAACTGTATCACACGCTAAGAGTTTATTACAATTCTAGCATAGGACTACTGAATAGAAGCTCATTTTTTTTTTACTTTGATGACCCAATGGCCGATCAGGTTTGCAGTTGTTGGCCGGACCTGAACCTGAACTTCCATGAGTCACAGCGCTAGCAGTCCGGGGGCCTGGGCACAGGCTGCCACCCAGCGCAGAGCTGAATGACCTCCTTGAGCGCCGGCGACGCCGCCTCCATCGTCCACCTGTCGTAGTACTCCTCCGGCCTGAAGACGCACTCGGCGCCCGGGCCGTCGACCAGGCACGGCAGCGCACCGTGCAGGAACGCGTCGCCCTCCGACCTGATCCACCCGGCCGCCGTCTCTTCTCTGTCAGCAGCCTGCAGCAGCACTCATCAGTATCTGTAACCAAGATGTATGCAAAATGCTCAGCCTCATAGTATCATCTTGTCTGAAGATGCAGAGTACCTTCTCCGGCATGTACTTGAAGACCGTCTTCTTGTGTCCTCCTTCGTATATGTTGCACTGAGACACAATCTGCAAATGGAGGCATCATTTCATTAGATTGATCATCTAAGTGAGTGTTGCCCGTTGCAAGCATTTGGAATAGCAGATGCCGGATGAAACGAGCCACCTGAGCTTCGACGCCGGCGCAGACTGCGTATATGCCCCAGTCCCTGGTGTAGTTGTTGTAGAGGTGGACCTTGCCGAAGCGCAGGCGCGGGTGCCTCTGCCGCGTGCCGTCGAAGAAGCAGTGGTGGATGGTCACCCTGATGCACCTGTCGTCGACGTGCGCCGGGTCCGCGCCGATGAGCATCGTCTTGTCATGCCTTGCAAAGTGGCATCTGTGCAAAACAATGACACACAGGCACATGTTCATCAGCACAATTGTCAAATGAAACGAGTGAAGAACTGAAGTTTTCGTGATGTTATACACAGAAATTTAGTTGGATTGCTTCATGTTGTACATAGAAATTTACTGTAGTTGGTGAGGAGGGGCAGTAAGAAAAAAAAGGAACTACCTGGAGACGGTGATGTCGGTGCTCTGGCGCGTGATGTCGATGAGGCCGTCGTCGTAGTCGGCGAGGGAGCAGCGGTCGATCCAGATGTTGGTGGAGCCGGGCTTGATCTGGATGCCGTCGACGTCGTGGCCCCGGCCGGCCTCGAACTGGAGGTTGCAGACGATGACGTGGTGGCAGTCCTTGAGCTGGAGCCCCTTGCCGGTGAGCCGGACCCGCTGGCCGCGCCCGTCGATGGTCTTGTGGGAGGAGACCCGGAGGTAGGTCTGCAGGTGGATGTCGCCGGACACCTCGAAGACGACCCACAGCGGCTCCTTGGCCCGGCACGCCTCCCGCAGCGTCCCGTGCCCGTCGTCTGCGCGCCGATCGATCAATCAATCGGTCAGTTCCTGACAGGGTTCCGGAGCAAGATTGAAGGCGGGTAAAAAGGGGACCTTGGAGGGAGGTGACATGGTAGAGGGCGCCGTGGAGGCCCCCGATGGCGCGGCGGCCGAAGCCCTCGGCGGCGGCGGCGAGCGCGCGGAGGGTGCGGTCCGCGTCGGCGTAGGGCGTCCGCGGCTGCGGGGGGCGGCGGGCCGCCGTCGTCACCGTCCCAGGCCCCGCCTCCGTGTCCATGCCGGGGCAGGGGAGGTAGGCTGCGGCGGCGGCGGCGGGAGTCGGAGGGGGATGCGGGGGACGGGGGTCGGAGGAGGGGAAGGAGATCCAGCAGCAGCAGAGGCGGGAGAAACAGGAGGCACGGGCGCCCATGAAATTCGGCCGTGTCGGTGGAATTCCGCCAAATGTGGTGAGGAATCCACACACTCACTCGCTCAGGGCTCAAACGTCTCGACCCAAAGTCTTCTTTTCCTCTCTTCTAATAAAAGAAGAAAAGTCTTGTTTATCCCTTATGAAACACGGACGCAGACCCACCTTTAAAGCCCACACACACTCCACACCCTATGGCGTGTTTGGTTGCCTGCATGAGACCCAACCAGGTCCGCGCGGGAAGAAAACGGGCTGTTTGATTGGCTGCATATACTGTTGGGCCTGCATGGTATGATGTTTAAAGCATTCCTAGGCCTGGCTCCCTGAGAACGCTCGAATCGGCAGTTTCTTCAGAGCCAGGCCCGAGCGGTGCACGTGGGCGGCGGCGGCTGCACGCGCGTGGCCACGCTCGATAAGCTGCGTTGCTTCCCGAAGCGCCGACAGTTATTAGCCTCACCGCTCCCTCTCCCCACTCTCCCCCACTCTCCCAACTCTCACCGGCGGCAGCAGATCGGAGGAGAGCAAGAAGACCACCGGATTCCATCACCGGTGAGCTGATCATCACCCGCCCCGCGGCAAATGGCGGTAAGCACTTTTCTGTTCGTCATGCACTACTTTTTCGCGTTCGATCCGGTGGTAGATTCGATCCACGACGGAGAGGGGAATGGGGAATAGAGGTAGATAAGCATGGCAATTCGTACTAGTTCATGCAAGATCGGAATAGAGGTAGATGCGGATGGAGTAGAAGGGGGATTGGGGGTACACAACAGACACTGGCTAACCACGGCGGCCGTTGAGGCGTGCGGTGATGGGGTTATGTACCTAGGGTAGGGTCATGGACCTGATCCAAGTACCTTGCCCAAGGACACCCTTAGAAGAAGTCATCTTCCAGTCGACCAACGAGGGACCCACTCGACTGACTGAAGGACTCGACCACGAAGACTCACTCGACCACCAGAAGGTCAAGAGGCACTCTGCACTGCAACGGCCTGTAATCAAGTAGACTTTATGATAGTAAAGGCACTTTATGTGGGGCGTTACCAGTAACGCCCCAGACTTAACTCACCTTAAACCCTCTCCTACGTGGGCTGGCTGGGGTCTTGGCGCACTCTATATAAGCCACCCCCCTCCACAGGCAGAAGGGTTGGGCACCTTGTAGCTCATATACTCATAATCCACTCGACCGCCTCCGGGCTCCGAGACGTAGGGCTATTACTTCCTCCGAGAAGGGCCTGAACTCGTACATCCTTTGTGTTTACAACCTCTCCATAGCTAGGACCTTGCCTCTCCATACCTACCCCCACTCTACTGTCAGGCTTAGAACCACGACAGTTGGCGCCAATCCAGAATTTAGCAGCTGCGACCCGTATAGCAGAGTCCATCCAGCCTTCGCAGTCGGAAGCTGGCAGAGGTTTGCTGCAGATCAGGGATCTGCTTCGGGCAGCAGGAGATCAGAATTCAGCCGTGTCTCAGTCGCGCAACAGAATTCACAGTCGATCCGTCACTGTGAATACGGTTCAGTCGGCTCACAGCCCCAGATCGCCTCCGCGGCGTGAAGGGCGCGAGAATCGACGAGATCAATATGGCGACAGACTCGACCGAGATGATAGGCGTCGAGTGCCCTATTCCCCTCCGAGGGGTGGGTCTTACGCTCCTCGGCAGCCAGATGATAGGCGTCAGTACAGTACGGGGCGTAGGGTTCCAGTCGACCCCAGAGAACCAGGCTTCGACGCGCGATCCATTATCGTGCAAGGGTTGGTCGACCGGAACAGAGCCCATCGAGGTGGACTCGACAGAGATGTGCCCACAAGCAGTCGAGTGCATGTTTCTGGCCCAGAATGTTTCAGCAGAGCTATCAGAGCTGCAGTTATCCCTCCCAATTTCAGGTTGGCAACAGGAGTCAGCAAGTTCACTGGGGAGTCTAAGCCTGAAACTTGGCTTGAAGACTACCGAGTGGCAGTTCAGATTGGCGGTGGGAACGACGAGGTGGCCATGAAGCATTTGCCCCTCATGCTGGAAGGTTCTGCCAGGGCATGGTTGACTCAATTACCTCCCAGCAGCATTTACACTTGGGAAGATCTGTCCCGAGTGTTCATCAGAACGTTTGAAGGAACTTGCAAGTGACCAGCTGGATTAACAGAGTTGCAAGTCTGCGTGCAGAAGGCTAATGAGACTCTCAGAGAGTATATTCAGAGGTGGATCACTTTGCACCACACTGTGGAGAATGTGTCCGATCATCAGGCAGTCTGCGCCTTCAAAGACGGCGTCAAGAACAGAGAACTGAGTTTGAAGTTTGGTCGAACCGGTGACATGACCTTGAGTCGGATGATGGAGATTGCTACTAAATACGCCAACGGTGAAGAAGAAGACCGACTCCGAAGCGGCAAGCACAAGCCGAGTCAGTCGGAAAAAGGGAACACCAGTCGGAAACAGAAGCGGAAGGCTGAACCGGCAGCTCCTGGAGAGGCTCTGGCCGTGATTCAAGGAAAGTTTAAGGGGAAACCAAAAGGATCCTGGAACCCCAAGAAGGTAAAGGATAAAGAAGGGAACGACGTGATGGATATGCCATGTCACATTCACACGAAGAAAGATGAAGAGGGGAATATCATTTACCCGAAGCACACCACTCGCCAATGTCGACTCCTGATCCAGCAGTTTCAAGGAAAACAGTCTAAGGACAAGGAGAAGGAGTCGGACAAGGCCGAAGACAAGGAGGACAGTGAGGGAGGATATCCGCATATCAACTCCACTCTGATGATCTTTGCAGATGTGGAAAGCAGAAGTCGACTAAAAGTGATTAACCGAGAGGTGAACATGGTTGCCCCCGCAAAAGCAAATTATCTGAAGTGGTCCCAAACACCCATCACATTCGACCAATCTGATCACCCGACTCATATTGCCACCCCTGGGAGGCAAGCTTTGGTGGTCGATCCAGTTGTCGAAGGCACTCGACTGACAAAGGTGCTGATGGATGGTGGCAGTGGGCTGAACTTATTGTATGCAGACACATTGAAAGGTATGGGCATTCCGATGTCCCGACTGAGCACTAGTAACATGAGCTTTCATGGAGTTATACCTGGGAAGAAGGCCGAGTCACTCGGCCAGATAGCTTTGGACGTGGTGTTTGGTGATTCGAAGCATTTTCGCAAAGAAAAGTTGACGTTTGAGGTCGTGGATTTTCAGAGTGCATATCATGCCATTTTGGGGAGACCAGCTTATGCACGGTTCATGGCTCGACCATGTTACGTGTACCTCAAATTGAAGATGCCCGGCCCCAAAGGAGTGATCACTGTCACTGGTGATAGGAGAAAGGCAGAAGAGTGCTTTCAGAAGGGCTCCAAGATTGCCGATTCCCAAGTGACAACGGTCGAGTTCGAGGAATACAAGCAAAACGCAGATCCGAGTGACTTGCTGCGATCCAAGAAGCCCGCCACAGAGTCTGCTTTCCAGTCGTCCGGCGAGACGAAGCCTGTTCACATTCATCCGACCGACCCCGAAGCAGCTCCGACCCGCATCTCCACAACACTCGACCCAAAATAGGAAGAAGCGCTCATCCAGTTCCTCCGTGAGAACTGGGACATTTTTGCATGGAAGCCCGCTGACATGCCAGGTGTTCCCAGGGGACTGGCTGAGCATCGCCTAAGAGTCGACTTGTCTGCAAAACCAGTCAAAGAGCATCTTCGGCGGTCCGCCGTCCAGAAGAGAAAGGCCATTGGTGAAGAAGTGGCTCGACTGTTGGCGGCAGGATTTATCCGAGAGATATACCACTCCGAGTGGCTCGCTAATGTCGTCATGGTTCCTAAGAAGGACAAGTCGCTCCGAATGTGCATCGATTTCAAGCCCATCAACCGGGCCTGCCCGAAAGATCACTTTCCTCTCCCTCGCATAGATCAAATTGTTGACTCGACCGCGGGATGCGAGAGGTTATCTTTTTTAGATGCTTACTCCGGGTACCACCAGATCTGTCTGTACGGGCCCGACGAGGTAAAAACAGCTTTCATCACTCCATTCGGGTGCTTCTGCTATATCACCATGCCATTCGGCCTCAAGAATG